GGTTTTGGTGGTTTGAATTATTTTTATATTTTAAGAACCACATATTGTAATAATTTATGTGGATGAGGCATACTGTGATTATAATATGTGGATGAGACATGCAGTGATTGTGATATTCTAAAGTTTCAAACTTTCTTTCTTTGGATGATGCATACAGTAATTGTAATACTTTTTTAAGTCATTGACTGTAATACTTTTTTTTTTCTTTTTTTCAAGAAATGCACAAGTTGAATTATGTTGAAAATTTATAAAATTTCAAACCGCCAAACCGATTCGCATCCATCCGCCAAACCGCCAATCCACTCAATCCACATCCGCCGGATTAGCGGACGGATGCGGATTGATTTTCTCCAATCCGCCAATCTGGCGGACGGATGGCGAATTGGAGGTTTCATGGCCGCAACCGACCCGCGCCCACCCCTAGCACCAACTACCAAGGCATTGTAGCAGTTTAAAATAAAAATGAGTTTGGATTCGTTAAAATAAAAAATTTCAATTTTACAGGCGTAGTTAGCCTATTGTAGAATCAATCTGCACCTATTTAATGTCTTATAATAAATTGAGAAAAATATGCATAAAAAAATTATAATCAATCAGACATAAATAATTATATGATCAAATCACATATATATTATAACAAATGAACGATCAATTTTAAAAAATATATGTCATATAAATAAAAATGATATAATAGTATGACAATTAATGTTGGATAAACTTTATTTTTTATATGGATAATTTTCTTAGTTAATGGTATGAAATAAATGGTTTAAAAGGATGAACTTCTCTCCAGTTCACTTTGTGGATTACAGCGTACTATTGGGCCTATGGAGTTCACCATAGGTCCTGTTTCGATAACTCGAATTGTTTAATGTGTAGAGCTATACATTTCTGTCAATGGTAAATATGATTTTAAAAATAAATTGTTAACAAAAATGTGTTTCAATTAAAGAATTATCAATATCCGATTAACATAATTTTCTGTAAAAATGAAGTACTTGACAAGTTATACACATTTAATGGTTTGAATTATCAAAACGAAATTCGTAATGGGCTCCACAAATCTAACGGTATGCTCAAGTCCACAAAATGGACCGGAGAGAATCTCACTTTTTGTTTAAATAATTGAAATGAATCTAAATTAGTCCCACAATAAGTCAATTGTACCGTAAAATTGAGATTTTTAACTTCAGGAAATTTGAATTAAAAATGAACAATAAAATCACAATTAAATTGGGTGGAGGGTGGAAATGAAGATGAAGAATATTCCAAAGAACATCGGTGGAGTGGAAGAAGTAAGAGATGGAGAGAGGGGAAGTAGCAAGGTATTATCAACTTTGGAGGAAGTGTGAGCATAGCAGAGTGTGCACACCATTCAACAGGATCAACACACGCTATGCGCGCAATGTCAGGAAGGCAGGCATGCGAGGAGTTATTTAAACGATCGCGTGCTGTCCTAAGTGTCTTGTAATTGATGAAAAAGATGAGTTATGATTTTGTATGAATGATTCGCGAACAATAAAAGTATGATAGTTTGTGATTAGTCAAGAGTATAATCACGTTGCGTTAGCCACCGGTTCATTTGGTTTTGAGTTTTTAAATATAATTTTTAAATTTTTAATTGATAGTTTTTTTATTCTTAATAAGTTTTAAAAAATATTTTAATCATTTTTAAAAAAAATTAGATTCACTTAATCTATATATATTTTAAAAATAAAATAAATGCAAAAAAATATGAAAACTATATTAATTTTTTTTGTTGTTGTATTTTTTATATTTAATGAATTTTATGAAGATTTTTTTCTTCATAAAATTTGTATTTTTTTAGTGTATCTAAAAAATAAAAATAAAAATAAAAATAAGAATTTGATTACAAATTTTCACCAAAAACAAACAAATAAATAAATAAGAATGAACAATTCGAAAAATTATTGTTTAGAATTTCAAATCAAACAGATTTCGAAGATGGAAAAATACAAATTTTCTGAAGAAAAAAAATCATAGCTGAATGAATTAAATGAATTGCCTTACAGGTTGAAGAGCATACACAAAGTCATAGATGAAAATGTTATTGATTAGTCTTACATTGACTTGGTCTGGAAATAAATTATTTTAGTTAATTTTTGGACTATTTTAGTAGGGCAAGGATTCCTTCCTTGACTCCTTACTTGATGGGTCATTGGGTCCATTTTTGGGTCCAATTTTGATAATGCGAATAGTTCACATTTTAGAATTTGCCATGTACATAATACTTGTAAAAAATCAAATTGATCGAATATCGAAAGAACTGAAAATCGATTATTAAAAAAAATTTAATAAACAGTTTTATTGTTTAATAAAACTTTTAGTTCACGTGATTTTTGATATCCGATCGGCTTGATTTTTTACAGGTATAATATACATGACAAATTTTAAAATGTGAACGGTTCAGTTCATCAAAATTAGACCCAAAAGTCGACCCATGACACATCAAGTAGGAAGTTAAGTAGAAGAGTCAAAAAGGGGATCCTTGCTCATTTTAGTACGATTGAAAAAGTTATATTTGGAAAAAAATTATGAGTTTTGACGACATTTATTTAAAGTTAAAGTTATTAAAGTTATTTTTAATCATCAAAATTAAAGTTATTAAAGTCATTTTTAATCATCAAAATTAAAGTTATTTTTAATTTTCACTACAGGAATTATGAGTTTTGACGACATTTATTTAACGGCGTGTTATAAAACATCACACTTTGTCATATGTAATGGCGTTTTTTGAACGTCGTTTTTTTTTTAAATATTGAAACTGCACCGTTTCAATATTTGAAGTCGTTTAGAAGCGCCTTCAAATGTCCTCTCTCCCTAATATGGGCAAGCTGGTGAATTCGTTCACTCATCAGTCTATCGTTTGCTCTCTTTCTCTAAACAGATGCCCTAATCTCTTCCAGCAGAATGCCTTCGTAAAAATTGCGAATCTCTTACTCACTCATCTATTTATCGATTCATCTCTCTCTAAACAGAATGCCCTAATTTCGATTTTGATTCTCTAAACAAAATGTCTCGATTTTGAATATCCCTCAGTGAATCTGTTTATCGATTCATCTCTCTCGATTTCGATTTTGAAATTTATGTTTCGGTGATTCTCTCTCTCAATTTGGAAGGCTATTTTGAATCTGAGTCCTCACGCCTTCTTTGATTTCAATTTCATCTGAATCTCTGATTTCGATTTCAATTTTGAAGCTCCACCGCCACCACCATCTGTACTGACGAGGTAGGTGAGCTCTCTCTCTCTCTCTCTCTCCAAATGCTTATCATTTGCAGAGATTCAAATCGGTTTCAATTTCGAAGCTCCACTGCCACCACCATCTGCATCATTGTTTACTAAGGTGAGTTCCACCGTCTCTCTATTTCTATTTGAAACTCTTCATTTCCGTCTCTCTCTTTCTCTCTCTCTCTCTCTCTCTCTCTCTCTTTTTCACACACACACACACACACACACAGATTTCAATGGAAGAACATAGTTTGCCCTAATTGTGATTTTTTGTGTTCCTAATTGGATTAGTCTCTAATTTATGTGCTTTAATGGAAAATCTAAAATTCTTGCTGCTCTCTAATTTCTGAAAACATTGTGGATTGTGAATTTGTGTGGATTTTTTTATTGTATAGTTATAGTTATGGATTTGAAAAAAAGGAAAAAGAAGCGAAAAATAGGAAAAAAAATTATTCGATCTCAATCGGAGTTGTTGATAAATTTTTTGGTAGTAAGAAACAAATAATAGAGAGTTTTAATTTAGTTGATGAAGATTTGGTTTGGTGATTAAAGAACCTAATCAATGTATAAATGATAAGCTAAGAAGAGAGTTTATTGAAGAAACAATATTCTTTTACAGAGACAAAATCATATATACATACAGAGTCTGTGTAAACTACTTTCCCTAGGTTGTATAGCATAAAAACCCTCAACTACACAATGAGCATATGTTGATCCATGATTGTGAATTTGTGTGGATTTTTTTATTGTATAGTTATAGTTATGGATTTGAAAAAAAGGAAAAAGAATCGAAAAATAGGAAAAAAAATTATTCGATCTCGATCGGAGTTGTTGATAAATTTTTTGGTAGTAAGAAACAAATAATAGAGAGTTCTAATTTAGTTGATGAAGATTTGGTTTGGTGATTAAAGAACCTAATCAATGTATAAATGATAAGCTAAGAAGAGATAAAATCATATATACATATAGAGAGAGTTTGTGTAAACTATACATGGAAACCCTTAACTACACAATGAGCATATGTTGATCCATCTATCTACCTTCATGCATATCTATATTTGCATTAATCCATAGCTTCTATGAAACCCACCATATCGAACTTCTCTCGAGTCCCAAAAAAAATCCCAACAAATCCCTCCCTAAATCTAAGAGCCAAAAAAAAAATTTAACAAAATGGCCCTGTAATTAGTCAAAAATTGGCTTTAGCTTTGCCAATGAGACTATAATCATTTAAGATTTTGATCTGGTGTTATTTGTTATACAACTCTTAATGATCTATTTTTAGAAAATAAAAAATAAAAATAGAAAAAAACTTGAAGGGGAGGAAAGAACTTTAGCTTCTAAAAATTAAGGGGTTAAAAAACAATTTATGAAGCACAAGATTCTTATCCACCCATGTGTTGGGTACTTGACTTTCATAATTTTTTTTTTGAAACTTCTAGGGTTTTTTAGAGAAGTTTTTCATGGCATTTGGAATGGGACAGATGTTGCCATTAAAGTTTTTCTTGAACAAGATTTAACTGTTGAAAACATCGAAGACTTCTGTAATGAGATATCTATTCTAAGGTTTGTCTTAATTGATCTATTTGCAATCGTAGCTTCTCATATTTCCCCTCCTCCACTTTGTTCTTGTCCATGCGATTGACTTTTCTTTTCTTTTCTTCTTTTCAGACACAACCGTCTACGCCACCCAAATGGTAATGCCCTGCATTTGTTTGATCAATATTTGTGAATGTTCTTGCAGTTCCTCTTTTTTGATCCCTTCAATTTTGTTTTTCTAGAATGAACATCAAAGAAGTTGGTTTATCTGATGCTGCATTGGACGCACTGGCATAGTGTTTTTCCAAAAAACCTTCTGAAATCAAGGTATTCAGTATGCCCTTCATGTGAGACTTACGTTGGTCTTAATTCTAGTGTCTATTGAATAAATGTTTTTTCTTTTTTGTGGTGCTGCTCAATCTTCTCCCATTTTTATCTAATAAAACTAGTCATAGTGAAAACTCTGGTCCAGCTGTTTCCCATTTGTTTTGTGCTGGCTTGACAGAGATATGAATCACCATCATGTAGGAGATCAACCCAAGTTGAGTTGGCTACAGAGATTCTGGCCATGTGAAGGAAAGTAGCAGCCAGCTACATGGTGGGGAAGCCATGTGAGTTGGCCATGAGGCCATGAAGCCATGAAGCAATCTGGAAAGCCACCGAAATGGGCTGGCAGCCAGCTCATTTCAAAGGGTGCCTCTTGCCTTTGTAATCTCTATATATAGAGAAGTGATGGTGAGTTGAATAAAGGGCAAACATAGCAAGCAAGAGAGTGTGAGAGAGTGTGTTATATAGAGAGACAGTGAGTTGAGAGTGTGTAATCTCCTCCATTTGTTGATATATAACAACATCGCTCCCGTGGACGTAGGCCGGTTTGCCGAACCACGTTAAAAGTCTTGTGTTTTTGCTTGTGAGTGTCCCCTGGTGTGCCCAATGTCCGCAACACATCAAACATCTCATACAGGAGAGATATACGAAGTTCTTAGTAAGGGAGAGAATTTTGTGAAGGGCCCTGGGAATTCATTTCTTGATAAAGATCTTGAAGCAGCTCTTGATTCTTTTGACAACATGTTTTGTCGTCGATGTCTTGTAAGCACCACTTCATGCTTTCTAATTCTCTATATTGTTTAGTGCCATTGTCCTATAACTACCTCTGTACTCTTGCTGTTTTTGTTGGCAGCTCTTTGATTGTAGGCTGCATGGATGTTCCCAGGATCTTGTCTTTCCAGTAAGTTGGTTGCTTGATTCTGGTTATCATTGTTATAAAAATTGTAGTTGTCTGCTATTGCTGAGGACTTTTATTCAGTAATTTATCAATTGTCAAGCTGAGAAACAACTTTCATGGAGCTTTCCAGATGAGGAACATATACCATGTGGTCCGCATTGTTATAAACTAGGAAGGGTGACTATTTAAAATAACATTCAGTAGCTTGAACTTCTCATATTTATTTTTGTTATCTATTCACTACACATCTTTTATTGGCTTTGTTTTTATTATTATTATGTTTTACGATTGGCAGAGATCAAGAGGATTGAAGGCCATGGGAAGCAGCATGGAGAGTGATTCAGAATGACGGTGAATGATGGATGGGGGTTGGGTGTTTTGGTTTACTTTCTTCTTATTTTTAGTGTTAAAATCCTTTGGATTTTTATTTCTCTTCTTTTTTCTTTTTTTCCTCTGATCTGACTGGGGGGTTGGTGTAAACGTCCCCGAACGCCCCGGGAGGATGAGTCCCCGGTCGAGCTTCGGAAATGGTTCTTGCACTGACTTGAGCAATGAAGGTCCAAAACCACTAATTTGACCCAAACAAGGCTGTAGGAGGCTCACCGGTCAAAAGGGGAAGTCACCGGCTGTCCACCGGCTATCTAAACATCTCACCGGCCAAATATTTGGCCGACCGCCCAAAAATGTAGCCGACTGGCCAAAAATGCCTAAATCGGGGCAGTTTTGTCTTTTTGGCTTAGGTCTTTTAAAATGGGGTTCCAAACCCTATTTTTCTTACTTCCTCTTAGCCGAAATTCTCTCCTCCCTCTCTCTAGAGTATTTTCTTCTCTTCATTTCCTCGTTTTCCGGGTTGTAAGAGGCACTTGAAGACAGTACCTAGCGCCTACAGACTGCTTAAGGGAATAAGACCTTTAGCTCCTAGGAAGAAGGAAAGAAGGGATGAGCGTAGATCAGGGTGGTCGTAGAGAGGAAGGAATCCCCTGCTAAGGATATCTGTTACAAGATGACTACTCTTTGATCTCTCTCCTACGCTCTTCGATAGCTGCTTGGCTTACAGGAACTACCAGATTGCTAGATCTTATTTCTAACCGTCAACTAAAACGCCAAACGACGATCCTTGCTTGCGCGTCCACTAAATTGATTCTTGACGTCTAACGCTTTACTATCGCGCACAAGATACGAACAAAACAACTAACGCTGCTCACGCATTTACGCCAGGAAGAGCCAACTGCTTTCTTTGGGATCCGCGCTTGGGGTACAATCTATTTATTATAATTATAGTACACAACCGAGTCTCTTAATAAAGAGAAGTTGGGGACATAGTCAACCTCCTACTATAAGAGCGATTCCCTGGGACCAGGATCGAGGGAAGGGGAAAGATTGAATCTTGAAAGACTGAGCCCGGCTAGCAAGATCGGGAGGTTTAGTGTCCTCTTAAGAAGGAATACCCAACTTCTGGGGTCAGCTTCGATCACGAGGAGAGAAGAGCGGACCATTGAAAGTCTAAATTCCTATCCGCCCAAGGGGGAGAGTTCGATTTCAAATCCAACGATTTATTTACCTACGAATCTGCTATTACGCAACTCAACCCTTCTCCGCAAACTCTTTCAGTTGTTGGATGCGCAAAACAACCTATTCCCCTTTCCGACGACTCGGTGACCTTTGACACGTTACACCTGGTTGCACGTAATCTTGGCTTTCGCCTTTCACTCGTGCAGTTGGACTGACTAGTGACTTTGAACCTTGAGACCGAGCCCTGCCTCTCACCTTTCGGTTCATTGCAAGGAAAGGCAAACAAGAAAAAAGGCACCTTTGGGCGGACACAAGCCCTCGGGACTTGACACTTGGACACCGGGAAGCTTGCCCCTGGAGACTGGGTCCTTCGTTTGGAACTGCCCTTTTCCTTTCCACTTTGGAATTCCTCGTTGCTTTCCCCACCATTGGCAGCCAACAACAGGATTATCCATGATGGAGTTAGGTTTTAGCTGTAGTTTCATGTGCATTCATCCTATACTTATTTTTTTTATTTTACAGAATTTAATTTCTTGTGTGGAATTAATTTGGTTGAATAAAATAAAATTTTATTTTATTTCCAAATTAATTGAAAAATAAAAGTTATTTTCTTATTTCTTTTATTTTACAGAATTTAATTTCTTGTGTGGAATTAATTTGGTTAAATAAAATTTTATTTTATTTCCAAATTAATTGAAAAATAAAAGTTATTTTCTTATTTCTTTTATTTTACAGAATTTAATTTTTTGTGTGGAATTAATTTGGTTAAATAAAATTTTATTTTATTTCCAATTTAATTGAAAAATAAAAATTACATTCTTGTTTCTTTTATTTTTACAGAATTTAATTCTGTGAATTTAGATTAATTTTCTGTGTAGTATAAATTCTAATTATAATTTTGTTTTATAATTTAGAATTTATGACTACTAAAACTAATGCCCAAACAAGTACTACTATGGTGGTTGCAATGACGCCAACCCCCTCTCCTGTTGTAACAGTACCGGTAAATCACGATGAAAAGCCAGAGACGTTCTCAGGAACTGACTTTAAAAGATGGCAACAAAAAATGTTATTCTATCTTACAACTTTGAACCTGACTCGTTTCCTCCGTGAGGATACTCCTATTTTGAAAGAAGATGAAACCGACCGACAATTGGTTGCTGCAGTTGATGCTTGGAAACATGCTGATTTCCTTTGTCGGAACTACATTTTGAACGGACTTGATAACACATTATACAACGTCTACAGTCCTATCAAGACAGCAAAGGAACTATGGGAGTCTTTGGAGAAAAAATACAAAACGGAAGATGCCGGCTCAAAGAAATTTGTGGTTGGCAGATTATTGGATATTGTAATGGTTGATTCAAAAATTATGATCAGCTAAGTTCAAGATTTCCAACTCATTATGCATGACATTCATGCAGAAGGCATGTCTCTCTATGAATCCTTCCCAGTTGCAGCCTTAATTGAAAAATTACCACAAGGCTGGAAGGAATTCAAGAACTACCTCAAACACAAGCGCAAAGAAATTTCTATGGAAGAATTAATTGTGCGTTTGAGGATTGAGGAGGACAACCGCAATTCTAAAAAGTGGGCTGGTAAGCATCCTATAGAGTCTAAGGCAAATGTGGTTGAACATGTTTCAAAAACCAAAAAACGAAAGTCTTCAGGATAAAGTTCATCACAAGGCTCTAAAGGAGGGGGGGAAATAAAAAATACAAGTTTAATGGCAAATGTTACATCCGTGACAAAGAGGGACATCGGGCAATGCCGTAGCAACGGCAAAAGCAAAAGAAGAACAAGCAAGAAACCTGTTCAAGCCCATATGACCGAAGTGGACAAAATTTCCAATGGTGTAGATGACATAAATCTTTCTGCAGTTGTTTCCGAGGCAAATCTTGTCAGAAATTCTAAAGAATGGTGGGTGGACACTGGTACTACTCGCCATATCTGTGCCGACAAAAAGATGTTCACATCTTATTCTACAGTGGATAATGGTGAACAACTTTTTATGGGCAACTCCTCAGCTTCTAAAGTTGAAGGACAAGGGAAGATTGTTCTCAAGATGACATCGGAAAGGAACTCACTTTCAACAATGTGCTGCATGTACCGAACATTCGCAAGAATCTTGTTTCCGAATCTCTGTTGAGTAAGAATGGGTTTAGGCGAGTATTTGAGAGTAATAAATTTGTACTTACTAAGAATGAGATGTATGTAGGAAAATGTTACATGTCTGATAGCCTTTTCAAGTTAAATGTAATGACCGTTGTGCCCTCAGTTATTAATAATAATACATCTTCTTCTTACTTGCTTGAGTCTTCAAATTTATGGCATGGTAGACTAGGACATGTTAATTATGGATCTTTGCATAGATTAATTAATATGGAATGTTTACTTAAATTTGACATTGATTCAAATCATAAATGTAAAATTTGTGTTGAGGCAAAATTATCTAAAACTCATTTTCCTTAATTGAAAGAAGTACGGAACCACTTGAATTAATTCATAGTGACATTTGTGATTTTAAATCAATTCAAATTAGAGGTGGGAAAAAATATTTTATCACTTTTATAGATGACTATACTAGATATAGTTATATTTATTTAATTCAAACCAAGGATGAAGCTTTGGAAACTTTCATTCAATATAAGAATAAAGTTGAAAATCAACTTGGTAAGAAAATCAAGAAATTTAGAAGTAATAGAGGTGGTGAATATGAATTACCTTTTGGTGAATTTTGTAAAGAACATGAAATAATTCATCAAATCACCGCTCCTTACTCACCTCAGCAAAATAGAATTCCTGAAAGGAAAAATAGGACTTTAAAAGAAATGATGAATGCCATCTTAATAAGTTTTGGATTACCTCAGAACTTGTGGGGGGAAGCAATACTTTCTGCTAATTATATTTTAAATAAAATACCCTGAAAGAAAGTGAATCAAACACCTTATGAATTGTGGCATGGAAGAGTACCATCCTACAAATACTTAAAAGTGTGGGGGTGTTTGGCTAAAGTGGCTATTCCTAGTCCTAAAAAGACTAAGATAGATCCTAAGACCATTGATTGCATTTTCATTGGTTATGCCAAGAATAGTAGTGCATATCGGTTTTTGATTCATAAATCAGAACATTCTGAAATGCATGTGAATACTATTATTGAATCTCGGGATGCATCTTTCTTTGAACATATATTTCCAAATAAGACTGGACAAGAGACTAGTAACAATAAAAGATCTCATAATGCTATTATTAGTCAGGATAAAAAACATGATCAAGAACAAGAGTTAAATCAAAATGAGAAAGAGGAACTTAGGTGTAGTAAACGTACTAGAACCTCAATATCTTTTGTTCCACATTTTCTAACATATTTGTTAGAAAATGAACTTTTAACTTTTAAAGAGGCTATGTCCAGTCCTAAGGCTCCTTTATAGAAAGAAGCTGTCAATAGTAAAGTTGAATCTATTTTGCAAAATCACACTTGGGAATTGGTGGATTTGCCCCAAGGTTGTAAACCTCTTGGGTACAAGTGGATTTTCAAAAGAAAAATGAAAGCGGATGGATCAATTGACAAATACAAGGCAAGACTTGTGGTCAAAGGTTTTAGACAAAAAGAAGGTCTTGATTACTTTGACACATACTCACCGGTTACTAGAATAACATCCATTAGAATGCTAGTTGCCATTGCATCTTTATACAATTTAGAAATTCATCAAGTGGATGTAAAAACCGCTTTCTTAAATGGTGAGTTAGAGGAAGAAATTTACATGGAACAACCAG